CCCCCCCCAATTTAAACATGCATGCAGAGTGGAAAGACTGGCCCCCGCCCACTCCATCGCCAGGTCTAGAGCTCAAGCCCCACCCCATATCTGATACCCCACCCCCGCTTAGCAGAGATTGGCTTGTGCTTATATAGGTAGAGAGTGTTTTGCCCACTTGGCTTTCAGAGACAGGAGGGTAACAACTCAGCAGCAAGAAATCAGCAGCAAATGTTATCATAAAGAGCTCCATTGTTTGGAAACAGCCAGATTTGTTGAGGAGGGGCGAACGGCAACGAGACAAATGCCGCTTTCACAGAAGCCTGGAAAACGTTACACTGCACTCCCGCTAACAAGCATATATAAATTACCCATCGTTCGGAGGACTGGTGTTTACTATAGTTCTGGGTGATAGTCAGACACCCAACAATTAACTGAACACAAACATTAACGCTCAGCACAGATGTCCAGATACGCCCGTCTGCTTTTGTTTAAATCGGCACCAAACGGAAGCCGGCCATTGTGCAGTGTGAGGTGTTCCGCAGAGCGAGCAGGGGCACGAGAGAGAGAGACGTCGCAGCAGAAGATGGGTTTCACTAGAAGCCGGCAGGACTGGTTTGACCTGACCCTCTCGCATAACCAGAGGGTGAACTGCGGAGGCCCAGACAGACAGTCCTGCCTGCGGAGCAGGGAGCCCCGAGCAGGAACAGCAGCAATTCAGGGGCCTGAGAGAAGCCCCCCAAACCAGTGCAGGGGCCCAATCAAAGCACTGCTTTGGGACCGTTCACACTGCTGCAGTAATGCCCCCCCCAAGCAAAATCAGGTACCAAAGACATTTCAGTTTTAACAGCAGTGACGTTCCACCTGACAGAACACCTACACACTGTTTCTCAAATTAGAAACATGCAGTTTATTTCAATGTGAAGAAATATTCCGACGTCGCCAAGAGCAGCGCACGAGTTCCTCTCAGCCCGGGCCGTTAAAACTTGCTGGCACGTCAAATAAGTTAGATTCACATTTGTGCACTCAGGCTTCCCCCACACGACGGCGCGGTAAATCAGCCATAAAAACCTTTAGCAAGTCACTGAACGGCATCTCAGGCAGATTTAGGCCACAAAGCCGGCGTCTCAGTTAAGAGCAGCGCGCTAGAGCCCCGCATTAACGTCTGCGTGAACAATGCGGCAGCACTTAGGGGCGCGAGCTGGTCCAGACGGAGACAAGCAGCTCTGATACACCTAGAAACATTAAGCAGGAACGGACACTTTCTGACAGCGCTTCATTCCGATGGGTGTAATCACTCACAGCGACCTGCAGGACACAAAACCAGCCCTAACATAAACATTCATACATACTCCTCGATCCAGAGGAAGGAGAACAGGACAGACCAACAGTACCAGCTACCGCCACTTGGCACGTTAACCTGTCGAGTCCGCCCCCCCGCACACGCTGGAATTTCCATCTGGCAGAAACACAGGCAGCATATCATGGGCCACCTACAATGTTGGGGGGGGGGGGGGGGGTTTGCAGCTGAAAACAGAGGGAAGGGTTTCCCAAATGAAACTGCCCAGACTGGGCTGGCCACTCTGCTGAATACCACGACTGCAGGTTCCGGCCACACCCTGGGCTTCCCGAGACCCCCCGCTTTCAGATGGGAATCTACACCCCCACCACAGACACACCTAAGCATATGGGAGTGACACCCTGGGAGGTGCCTCTCCCCACCAGTGGGCCCCGCCCCGCCCCACCAGGTCCTCCTGGATTGTCTCCTGCCTTTTTTGCTCCAGACATAATCATGCAGAACAGAGACGGTCACCATTTACTAAAAGAGGTCTCCGGTTACCATGGCCTTTGTGCTCTGGGATGATTATAGTCGCCCCCATGCAAATTTTGACCTAAAAAAAAAAAAAGAAAACACCTCGTAAGTCTATCCCAAGCGGCTCCACACAGCATTCCTGGATAACTGGAAGGCAGGGTGGAGGCCGTCTGACTCACCTGCCTACTGCAGAGAAAACGCACTTCCTTACGCACAACACTGGTCAAAGGGCACAAAAGCAGGGCTCTAGCAACCTGCAGCCTATAGGGGGCACTCACCAACCTAATCCTTAAGCCACCAGATGCAGGTCCTTAGCTAGAATATGGGTGCAGATGCTGAGATCCAAGTTGCACTCAACAACACTGTGACCCCTCCCACCCCAAAAAAAAAATACCCTGTTCAGATCAGCAGTACAGTCACTAGACAACTTTCAAAACCATACCATCCATCACAGACCAGTGTTCCCAATCAGTCCAGCATGGTTAGTAGGCTAGGAATGGGAAAGCCCGGGTTGGATTTCAGCGAGTAAACGGTCTGCAGCGACACTGTCACAGACACTGAACCGCATCAACACACAGATGTGACAGATCAGACATCTTATCGCAGGTGTCATCAGCCGACTGCCCGCACAACACACAAGCCCCCCCCAAAAAAAGGGTTTCGTACGTATCAAAACCGCAAGTCTCACTCTACCACAGGGTTATATATACTGTGACCCGCTGCGACTTCAAAGAAATTGCATTCTCCCTTTCTAACATTTTCACACATTTGCATTAGATGTCAACATACCTCACATTTCAAAGTTCTGCTTTCAAGCACAGAGCCTTGGGCAACCTAGAGCCTCTATCCGGCCGTGACACCAAGGGGGGGGAGGGAAAGACACACACAGACACATGCACTCATACTCTCTGACCTGCTTGTCCTTCAGCAAGTTAACTGAAACTTCAACCATGATGTCAGCCATCGCGGATGGGGCAGGCGACCCATCCTGCACCGGGGCAGCCCGTGCCGACTCCCCCCTGGGCTGGAAGCTCGCTGGCACAAAGACACTATATTTGAGTCCAGCTGAGCCATAGCTTCCAGCATTAGTCTTTCACAGAGAGCAACCTGTTCCTTCACGGGTTTAAATGTGCTGGCCGTTGTGGTTTCTGACTAAATTAAATAAGTAAATTCCTCTCCATTCCTGTTTAATGGGAAATCTGGGGGAACTGGGAGCTGAAGGGTGGACCTCGTGACCACAGAAATCCAACCGATCTAATTTCCCCATTTCCAGCTAAATGAAAGCATGCAAGATCCCACATAGAGGCTGGGAAATACCCACACTCGCCATGGACCGGACAGCCAACCTCCACATGACAGTAGTAAAGGCTGTTCAGGTCCAAACCAGGCATCGCCGGGACACATTTTAACTGCCTGATCATCACATTCAGGGAATTCTCAGCTTCGTCCCCCACGACCTGCCAATTAAATAACCTTACACTCATTTAGCATAAAAGCATTAACGAACACAGCCACTGTGTTCAGCTGTACAGTATTGCTGTACCCAACACAGCAGCGTGTTTGGGCCATAAGCTGCCAGACGGACGGGTCAGCGCTGCCCTGCAGAGCGCCACGAGCCCCCACGAGCCCCCCACGCACTGAGGGCCCTTTCACAGAATGCCGCTGGAGCTGTCCGGGGAAACAAAGTGTTCATTTATCTCCCCACCCTTTTTTAATTAAAGGGGCATTTGGAATAACCATGCATCTCGCTGTGTGGACGAAGCCTGCCCCCCCCCCAAAACGGGGCACCAGAAGACAAAGGATTCTTGGTGTCTGTGACCTTGCTGACAGGCGTCAAAATGCAGTGGGAAGCATCAGAATACAGATGCCTTAGTTTTAGCTTAATGCAAAAAACGCTGAAGTGGGACAGCTTCTCTGCAAACACACGGGCCTCGGATCAAACCCAGCAGCAGTGGGCTTTCCCCGAGTCAGCTACCATTCGGTACCAGACGCTCAGCACTCAAACAAACTACCCTATTTATAGATCTGGGTGGCTGTCACATACTCCGCCGAACGGTACAGGATTGACACCACGGCAGCATTTATATTCCAGTGTCACGCCACACTTTCACTAGGGGGCAGCAGCCTTACGCAACATACCACACATCTTGCTAAATGCACCACAGTGGCAAGTGTCACCATACAAGGGTGGCAGGTTAACACAAAATGAGGCCCTTCCCACCAAGCTATCACAGAGCACGAACCAGGCAGCCTATTATACATACATGCAACAGCAGAGCTAAATCAACCCGTTCCATGAGTTCAGAATCTAGTGTCAATTTAAAACAATTGGCTTAACACTGCACTAGCGGACAATTCAGAAATGCTTAACAGGAACCTAAAACTAACAGGAGGGAATGCATTTTATGGCAACCACATCTGACGTGCAAGTGCGCCACCTTATGGTTGGGAGGTTTAACTCTTACAGCTCAAACACAGGTGTTTGAAACAGGAACTCCACTATGGTCCGATGGATCCACAGCCAGGGCCTTGGATTCACGGCTTCACATCCAGACACCGAGAGCACATCAGCAACTAGCCATCAAACCTTCTGTGTGACTTGCCTATCGTTCATGCAGACAAGACGCCATGTAAGCTGGAATACAAAGTAACCAGGAACAGAAAGTGTAAGTGACCTCCAGGACATTTCTAATCAAAGATGAAAGGCACCAGGAACAATCCGAGTGAAACCGCCCAGAGCACAGCTGCTGTGGCTGGGGAAAGAAAACCAAAGTTACACGAAGAGCAAACAAACCCAAAGAAACCCCCTCCTGTCAGGCAGAGATCAGCAGTCACACAGCCTGTAGACTGCCCATTCACCCCGGGCAAACGCGGCCTCCGCCTACCGTCAGACTGATGCCGGGCTGGAGCTACAGGAAGGAGCGGTTCAGCCTCTGTTTTAAGGAGCTAAACGTAAACCAGTGCAAAACAGCTGTTTAATTTGGCATAACACTTGTCTGGACAGTATTTTTTTTATTTATTTTTTTTTTGGGGGGGGGGGGGGGGGGGCGACTGAGCCAAGATGTCCGCAGATTAGAATTACTACTAAAAAGGAACGCAGTGCATTTATACTCTCATGTGTGTCCCCCGTTTGCCATTATATTAACGTTCGATGAACGTTAAAATTTGTCCAATAAGACAAAGCAATGCAATTCAAGGTCACGCGCTTTTAAAGATTCCCGACAATAAATGACGCAAAATGCGCGCAGCTGCACTTAAGCGTGAAATTGCGCGTCTTACGGCGGATTGTAAGGCGCAGAGATGCGACCGCGGCGCAACGCGAATTCAGCTGGAAACTACAGCTTTCCGTTGCTGTGGAAAAGAAAATACAAACAACGCAATTAAATGTTAGACCGTTTTCTTTTTTGCGTATTGACTACCAAATAAAGATACTAAAGTTGAGGGGAGGAATAAAAAAAAAACTTTGGTCATTCCAAAGTGATTGAATTTACATAACAAAGCAGCTTTAAACAAATATCCAAATAGTGAACAAAGTGCGTGACGGGAACCCTAGCAGGAGCGGCCAGCTTCCGCACTCGCCAAGCGCGCCGGGCTGCTTAAGGGACGCAGGTCGCTCCATTTTGGGGTGAACAACTCGCGGCTCGCAACATCGAAGCAGGCGAAGCTCCCGAGCAGCTTCAGAGTTACAATTCATGCTTTAACTGGCGGAAAAAAGCGGAAGCGGGACACCCACCTCAGCGGCACATGCACGGCAGGGAAGACTGAAGAGGAAATAACATGAAGCCCGGTCGCTTTTTCTGATGTGCAGCCTCCTCCCACATCCGAGAAGCCACCATTCCGGGGCTTATGAGCGCGCAGAGCCGGCCCTTCGGCAAAGGCGGGTCCGGCCCACGCCGAGCTGCGCCCGGAGACGCCTTTCCGAGTATTATGGGCTCGATCGTTCCCTAAACGGAGCTGTCAGTACAGTCATTAAAGAGCAACATGTGTGCGATGATAGGAATGAAGGAGGCGTCGGACTACTCACCTTCACATCCTTACGGGCATCTCTCAAGTTTCTGTAGCCTGCAGTTTTATTGCATGATCTGTTGATTTGCCTTCCTCTGGATCTCGGTGTCGGCGCGGCTAACACCATGCGAACACTGTACTATGTTGATGTTAAAATTCATTAGATCATCACGTGGTCTTGTGTTGATACAATTTTTCAATCTGTAAAAAAATTACAATTCATGAATGGTACTTACGTAAACAGATGTCTTAAGTTCCAGACGTGCCTTTGATGGCATTACAGTAACTGACAGCCGACCACACGATCACCATGGCTTTGGATATAGGGCCTAATCCCAGCTTAAGATGTTCTAATTGATTTCTGCATTACTGCCATTATTTAACACATGAGAGTTAGTTTTAACAAATATATTAATCCATTTAATGTAATTATCATGGAAGATGGCCACCCCAAATTAATTAACCCTTACAGGGAGCTGCACCCGGTGGGCAAACAAGCACACATATGATCCACAAACAAGATCAGCTAAAGTCTTTTGTTGGTGCCTCGATCAAAGCTTTGCCTTAAATGATAAGATGTGAGTCCAGATAATCAGGCCTGTCCATGTTAGGGACGATGATGTCTCATGTCCTGAACTAATACTTATACTGTATGGGCCGCATTTAATATGCCCAACAAGCGTTTCTCTCTCTAGCATCCTGCAGGACCTATTATGATACTGTTTGAAGGAGTTACAGGATGATCCAAGAAGAGAATGTAGAGAAGAGTGAGGAGAGAGAGGGATGGATCAAAAGAGGAGAAGAGCAAGTCAAACCCTCATCATTTCCACTGTCGTTCTTAATCCTTTCCCCAATATGTGGCCTCTTTTCTGTTTTTTCTGTGTTTTGCAGCAGCACAAGGCCAAGCTGGTGTCCTGCAAGCTGAGGAGGAGGCTTCCATATGGAAGACCACAACATTAGACATGATGCCTGAAGAGGAGGATGCCATCTTGGATGGATGGTCAGTGTGGGTCGTCTGGCCTCCTGTAAGGCAGAGTTGTCGTGAATCGCCATGCAGAAGCATGATTTGCTCTTGTGAATGTGTAACAGTTCGTTTATCCTTTATGTTCCTAAAAAGCATTTCTGTCCTATTCTATAATATCATCTCTTTTAAAACATTCTGTTCTGTTATATTATACATTGCATTGATTATTTTGCCTCATCATTTACATTGTGTCATTTTGTGTAATACATTCAATGTTTGTCAGACTATATAATACACAATAATAATAATAATAATAATAATGATAATAACCATATACATAATGCTAATCATGTCTGAGGACACACAGTGGGCCAATGGGGGGGATTTTAGAGGAGGGACCACCAATCAAGATAAGACTTTTGACCAACTGAAGAAGACCTGGTGGCCCAAGATTTGAGATGTAAATGCTGGCTTGCAGGCACTGTGGTGTGACCTCCGAACCTGGTACATATCCAGGAGAAACCAGGACCATGTAACAGGACAGCAAACTCCCAGATACGCACATTATCTCTGCAGAATCAGGGAGAATACAGGAGAATCCCAGTCCATACACAGTGACGAAATGTGAAAATGTGGGTGCCAGTAGAAGCTTCCGGTGGGTGCCAGTAGAAGCTTCCGGTGGGTGACTGTAGACCAACAACATTTGTACCATGCAGATTTTACAAGGTGCAACTGAGAACAAAACCTTTTCTGAGTCACTGTCACCTGGATGCTTTATCTGTTATTACATTAGACTCGACCCCTGCAAAGTCTGCTCTTGCTCTAAGTCACTGCTAATTGCATAGTTCACAGCAGCATTGATGAGTCTGATTAAGCTTTAGAAGAAACGGAAGACATGTAAGGAAATGTATGAGATGCACTGTTTCTCCTGCACAACAGCAAATGAGCGGAAAGTTAGAGCATGACGGCCAGCAAGTGTCTGCGGGCACACGTGCTGACCGGTCTGCCAGTCCTGTGGGACAGCTTAGACCCCGAAAGCTAAACACTGTGCCATAAAAGCACTTTTCACTGGTGGGGGGGAAGGCCGCTCTTAATAACAACCAGCGGGGATCCCCAGCGGGGCCGCTACAGCACACTGCTGATATATTGTTTAGGAATTAATCCCCGGTTTGATACTGGGCATTTCACTGTTGCAGGAATGAACTTGTTGACGATGTGCCAAAGTGGGCTTCAGCTCCAGGCTCTATCTATAAGCAAAAATGAATTCAGATCCATATATATTTATTTTGGCTTATAGTAATGTCTCCCATTCACAGCAGAGATGAAACATTAAACTCACAATTTTTGTTTGAGTATAAACAGCCTGCTAGAAGAGAGCTGCCATTATGGTCAAACCAGTTGAATTTCTTATTATTTCTGCACAGCAGAAAAAAGTTTGCCAAGGAGAATATTCGTCATAGGCCGAGGTCAAGACCAGCTTTTGAGGTGAATACAATTCATGTGTTTTTTATCCACCACTAGACTTCAGGCCTCCTACGAGTCGGATTAGGATGAGCAGTTAGAAGATAAATGGATGGATGCAGAGCCTCCTGTTGAAACACATACATGTATGAACCTGGCCACAATCATCAATGACATAAATCAAAACAAGAATATGAAAATATATTTTTTTAATGGTTAAGCACTGAAATTCTTCCCCTTATGGGTGGGTATGTGTCTCAGGGCCTGGAGGATACCTGCCGTGGCTGTGGATAGACCATAGACCAAATAATGTGACCCAGTGAGGAATCCAGCGAGGCCTGGACTGCAGGAGAAGCTGGTGTGGTAGTGAGGAGAGAAAGAGTAAAGAACAAAGGTCACCGAAGGCGGACTGACGGACTGCTGTATCCCCAGAAAGAGATGCTTCCATCTGCCAGTCAACATATAATAATATAATATAATATAATATAATATAATATAATATAATATAATACTCTGGGTTAATAGGTATGTGTAATTTTTACATTATGCTAACAAATAAAGGAAGTGGTCATTTTCATATACATACCAAGCTTAAAGTTTGCCTGGCTGTAAAATGCTCAGACCACTGGAAACAGATAATTCTTTCCAGTCAGGAAATGGAAAAATAGTTGGGCGAAAAATTGCAATTCCTAAAGTTACCTGTAGGAGGAGCTACCTGTGAAGTTTTCGATAGTATTGAGCCTTTTAGTGAATTGTATCTCTGTACACTGTAGAGTGTAATTTAATTTTAAAAAATACCAATACATTATCATATAAAAATGGTTGAAGGTCGATGCAAATGAATATATGTTGTTATTCAGTTCTATCTGGTGGCCGTAATGGGAAGCGATTTTCAGCACTGGGGAAAAATTCGGTATTTATTTTAAAAAGGACATTTCACAACAGGGAACGGGGTAATAAAAACATAACATTTCATGTAGGTCTTGTAAAAGTTCTACTATTGTTTTCGCTTAGTGAAGAGCCACCATTTGGATTTACAACATATTCGTAATCGCAGGAATTCCATGAAAACCTGTTTTGGCTGTCGGTGTGTCAGTGGTTGGGTCAGAATGGCCTGTTGATGCTCGCAGTGTATTAGCCCGGCTTAGTCATTACTTTCATTCCTGACTGAGGGAGGGGGTGTCTTTCCGTAATGCAAAGTAGCCTACCTGAAACATAAAATATGCGGCTAAAGAAAATTTTAATATTATGTAGGATATTATAAAATAATGAAACTACAAGCCTCAATAATAAAAATGCAATTGAGTGGTTGCCGTCGATACAGAATTTCAAACTTGTTACAACCACAAAATCCTTCTTAAACATATCAGCTGGAGCTTAATTCTCCGTATTTTTTCCATTATAATCCTCAAACACAACGAGTTTCTGTTACTTATAGTTTTACCCACTAGGGGGCAGCATTGCACAGACCTTCATGTGGTTTAAACTTGAACTGCGCACAAGACGGAGACCAACCAGCGTCGAGTATCTGATCACTTCCAGATCTGGGTTATGATCTGGGTTGTTTTCAACAATTTCGTCCCAGTCCTGTTAAACACCTCACATCAAGATTCCTTGTCACATACATAGTTATACAACATGTATAACTATGTATGTGTACACCTGGTCGCTCCGAAGACTGTGCATAAATTAAGTATTGAAGGTGTACAGTCTGCATAGATTTAAGTACCATCACAGTGTGCAAGTGTTTTAAGGACTGAGCCATAGTCGGAGGCGTGTGAGAACCAGCAGATGGTTCCATATCATGAGCTTCAGTTTGTATGATGAGAATCCTCCATGCAGTGAGTTCAGACATCGTCCACATGGGGACTCTGGTTAAAAGGTACAATTTGCTCATCTCTGCAGCCTCAGGAAGGTCTTCCATAAGCACATCTTTAGACGATTTGCTCTCTTGCGTTGGTCTTTTTTCACAGGAGGATTGGCGTGCTGCTTCAGCTCTTGATATTAGCATCAGCGAGCAGCTCACCTCTTAGTGGCCCAGTGCTTCACGCATCTCGGTGCATCTTCAGCTTGGACCCTAAAGGTGTGATTCCGAGGCTCTCGCTGGCTGTCACTGTCACCCAGAGTCGATTCCGTTACTTCCCTAGGTCACCCTAGGATGTCAGCTTCCTCGGAGCAGCTTCATGAAACGTTAGTAGGACCAGAGATGGACGGCAGGGTGACAGGGCCTAGACTATCCTCTGGGCACCCCCACCCCCCCAGTTTTTCCAAAAGAATCGTGGAATACGACTCGGTGAGCTACATGTGCTGACAGGGCCTCCCAGAACGCAGTGTGTGTGTTAATGAGCTTGCGTATCTGTTTATGTGTGTGTATGTATTTAGATGTGTGTTTGTATGTGTGCATTCGTGTGTATGTGTTTATGTGTATGTTTGTGTTTGTATGTGTGTTACAAGGACATCCGGCTGATAAACGAGCTTCTCCTTAATGCCAGACGGATGTAAGAGCAGCGATTCTCCACAGAAGCTCAGCCTTTGATGCAGTAATTGAGGCTGTATGATTTAGCTGTTTGTGGAAACAAACTAATGATTTTAATTTGCCTGGTGGTGCAGTGAAATGCGGGACCTGGTAAATGATGGTAAATGACGGAGAAGGAGGTGAGCGGTCGGGGGGAGAGGGGGCTGCTCCACCTCCAGATTCAGCGGCAAACGCGTCTCAGCAACTCAGATGGATCTCACACAGGTCTGCCGAATCATGCCTGCGCACACACATACAAAACACACTGTATATTGGACGTGTGTATGTGTGCATGTCATCTCACACTGCTGTCTGCCTGCTTCTCCAGCTGCGTCACGCATCTGCGCCTCGGCCTGCCAGGTCGACAGTGCTCTACTGACAGCTTTCTGTTGTTTGCGGACTGTAAGAACTTTAAACTGAGTCTCACTAATAAACAAACAGTCCCCATTTTGTGCTCCTGGCAAAGCCTTGTTGATGTAATACTTCTGATGTGAGGTGGGTATTTTCATGAAGCAGGACTGGGCAGCATTTTTGTATTGTTTACACAGCGCAATTGTCCCTCAGTTCTTTAATTGGATTTAAAATATGGAAATCGGAAGACACGCTTCGGTAAGAGAAGCAGCGCAAATCCAGTACATCATTTGGTCTTAGCCTCACATGCTAATTAGGAATTACTTTTAATCTTCCCTTTCCTTTTCCCTCACGCCAAATCTTTAAATTGGCTTGGCTCTCTCTGCCCGCCTTTGCCCGGCCGCCTTCCTTTGATATGCGAGAGCTTCTGAGGGCTCACACTGTCTGGCTTTGTGGCTCAGTCTCCCCGCCAAAGCTCGTCTTCTGGGTCAGTCTTCGGTTGTGAATAAACTGACAGTAGAAGTCCCTCCCAAACCCCCTTTTCGCTGAGAATAAAATCTAAGTTTTGGCTCCACTGAGCCCTTGTTAAGTCCACCCCCCCCTTCTTGTGTCCCCTCCCCAGAAGAGCATAAGGGGAGGTGCTGAACTTCACCCACATCCCCAGCGAGAACCGACACAGGTCACGTGGCGTCGGGTGACAAGCCAGGGCCGGTTAGCGTGGCTGAGGAAGCTTCAGACCTGAGGATGTTTTTGGTCCTTCAGGCTGAGACAGTGGCTACTTCAATATTAGTTTAAATACTAGAACTTGTGGCCATAAGTACCATTGAAATTAGCAGGAGAACATTTTAAACTGAATTTGAGAAAACAGTTCTTTACACAGCGTGTAGTTAGAGTATGGAATAGTCTTCCTGTCCAAGTAGTGCAGGCTAAAACCCTGGGTTCCTTTAAATCAGTGCTAGGTAAAATTTAACAACTCTGAGCTATTAGTTAAGTTCTCCCCAAACGATTTTGATGGGCCGAACGGCCTCCTCTCATTTGTAAATTTCTTATGTTCTTATGTTCTTAAAGGCCAGAATGTCCTCCTTGGCTTTGGAGGAACTTTAAGGAGACGACACCATTCTTGGGCTTGGCTGAGTCGACCATGTTTTCCAGGCATCCGTCTGTATTGTGGGACTGCAGCCACATCTGGGGGCCTCATTCACCCCCGTTACTGGACACGCGATATATGCCAGTGGCAGTCATGCTGATCGGTCATAAAAAAAGCTGCAAAAGTCCTGAGGGAGATCATTCATACATTAGGGGTGCTATAATGTCATAGCATGGAATGAGCATGTTCACATGAACAATGTCAGCCATCCCCATAGCTAGAACAATGCTGAATGGTGAATGCAGCCCATGTTATTCTCCAGGTGTCCTGTAGGAGGCAGTGCACACACAAAGTGCAAGCTGACTTGGGGCCGGTCCCCCTCAGATGTAAACGTCAACATCTCTAGCTTTACAGGTAGATATCTCATTCTCATCTACTTAAACAGCACAACTGGCAGAAAATGTACCTTTTCCATTATATAAAACGTATAATTAAGCAAGACACTTTACCCAATCTGCATTAATGAAGCAATCAGTGTTAAGTAGTAGCAGTTGTTAGCACAATAATACACCCCATGAAGTCAAACAGCATACCTAGTTATTCAGTAAATGAGCCATAATATCGGTGGCAAGAGCATGCAGACTCATTCGTATTTAAAGTGATATCTACACCTGATTGGAGATTCATTGTTATACTAGCGTAAGATATCAGAGTGTGTGTGAGCAATGAGCCTCAATGGCTGACTGGGTGATCCATGTCAGATTCTGGTGAAGACACATCATGCAGAAATCTGTAACTTTTAATGAGTTTGTTGCTCCGTGTCTTAAGTGTTCCTCCTGACAGTCCTGGTTATCTTTAGTGTCCTTCCTGACAGTCCTGGTTATCCTTAGTGTACCTCCTGACAGTCCTGGTTATTCTTAGTGTCCCTCCTGACAGTCCTGGTTATCCATAGTGTCCCTCCTGACAGTCCTGGTTATCCTTATTGT